ATTAATTCTTATTACACAGAGATAGATAGATAGATAGATAGATAGATAGATAGATAGATAGATAATACATATGGGAAGCTATGATTACATACAGGTGTTTACTTATATATAATATATATGACAATATGACACATTATTATCACATGCATATACAAATTCAAAGTCATTTGGAGTATTTCTATTCGTCATAAAATGTTAACACATTGTAAAGAGCAGCTGGCATTTTTAAATTCTGCAAACAAATAGAAAAGCATAAAAAGTGGACCTCAGACTAATTATACATGCATATATGCATTTAGAAACTTCATACATGTGAGACATATGTATGACATCATGTCCTGACATTGTATAAAAACAAGCATGTATGTGTGTGTGTGCAGCTCCCTCTCCTCCTCCTCCTCGTCCTCCTCCTCTGGTAAACACATTCAGTGCTGCACCCTTTAAAATATTCAGATATGCAGGCCCTTACAGACCCGGCCCTGCTGCTGCTCTTTGTGGTGGCTCTGCGGCTCATGGCGCTGCAGCCGCGCTGTAATGAAGCCCCTTTTCTAATGCAAATCACAGCCAGGGCTCTGTTTATAAATGAGCTCAGACAGACGCAGCGTTCGTGTCTCTGTGCAGATCAGACGGAAAAGCTCTTCTGTTGTGATGGCTGATGACTGACGGCTGGCTGAGCTCTGTGTTTGATGTGATTTGGGCAGGTGTGTTCTGACAGGGTTGTGTTGTTCTGGTGAGGTGCAGTACGCTCTGTTCTCCTGATTAACACACTCGCCTCAGCGCACCACAGGGAAGCTCCTCCGCCGTACCTGGGAGAGTCACGGGTTGGGCTGAGCTCATACAGTCTGCAGTGAATCAAAACAGGCCCACAAACCCAATTCAGAGCAGGAAGCCTCACAGAAACAGGAATATTCACTGCACAGAAAGCAGTAATACCATCTCACTAGACCCTTGTATGTAAGACATGTATGTAAATGTGTATTTATTACATGTACATGGCAAAAAGTATAATTTGCAATTGTAGTATCAAAATTCCACTCTAGAATCAGTAATGTATATCTATCTGTCTCTATCTATCTATCTATCTATCTATCTATCTATTGTCAATGATCAAAGTTAGCTACTGAGCTGAGAATCATACATACATAATTAGCTAGTTAGCATATCTAGTATAATAGACATGTGTTAAGCTAGCTAGCATCATAGATATATAGCACATTTAAAATGGCATACTACTGTCCTGCATACTACACTATTACTGTATACTGCATACTACTAATTTGGTGCGCAAGTAGTATGGATTTTGGCATTGTAAATGCTGAAGTCTGTTAGCATCCATGCTATCTGGTTTTCACTAGCTTTTGTTTGTTGTTAGCCATGTTAGCATGTCTGAGTAAAGCACAGTGCAAATGCCTACTACACCAGCATACTGTATAATGCATACTACATACTATCTTGCACAGATGCTGCCCCTTTTTAGGACCTTTGGGCCAAAAGAAACACTTCAAAATGACTTGAAATAAAATCTCTTTACATTAACTTCCACTGAGAGTAAAGAGCGTTTCGCCCTCTACTGGAGATACTTGTTCTTCTTTAGACAGTGACGATATGCAGAAATGCACCCTGCTGAAAAAAGCAGCACAGACCAGCAAGCGTTTCATGCTGGTCTAAGTTGGCCTGGTGCTGGTTTAGCTGGTCACTCCAGCATGATCATACTGGTTGACCAGGAACAAAACACAACATATGCTGGTTTTTCTGGGTAACTAGCAGAGTTCATGCATTCACCAGCTTTTGCTTACTATTAGCCATGTTAGCATGTCTGAGTGAAGTATATATTTTTTATGTGGGATAAAGAGGAGACAGCATCAATTTAAAGTTTTGCTATTCATTATTTAGTATCATAGACACTTGCATTTGAAATGGCATACTACTATACTACTATACTGCATACTATATACTATTTTGTAGCACAACTGATGTGTAAGTACTACACAGTGTGTCATATCGAATAGATAGCTATCATAGATGTACAGTTAGACAGAACTAGTCTGATAGATACAAACAGCATCAAACTTTCCTGAAAGGGTACCGTAATGCGTACTGCATACTGCATACTATTTTGAGGTACAGTATGCAAGTATTTTAAGAGCACCCATGTTTATCTATCTAGCATCACAAATGTATAGCTTGTCAGTTAGCCATGTTTCTATTATTACATGCTAGTACACAATTCAGGAACACTGCAATGCCTTCCTTTAAAATCTGAGTTCTTCATGTTCGTTCATTCATCGTCAGAGTTGTAGCGAATGTATTTTCGCTCTGAGGTTTAACTGAAGCCGCTTATGGAGTTTGGCAGGTGATCATATGAACAGATGGGCCGCAGACAGACTGCTCAAACGGAGCGATGCACACTCATCCGTCTCCTTCAGCATTTTTAGATCTGACATTTCAGACGCTGCTTCATCCGGACTGAACCGGTTCCACATGAGGATCAGGTTCGGAGCTGAGTGAGTGAATCACGGCTAGAAGAATCACGAGAACCTTCATCACGCTGAACCTTTCAACTATTTATCAACTGGGGTTATAAAATAGCGGCTCATACAGATGCACTGATGCTGTAGCTCCTTATTGCTCTCAGTTCTTGAGCTTCTTTCTCTGTAAAACTATTACAGCCCATTATTCAGTTACTGTGTGGAAAACAGAGCAAGCTGGCTGTCCTTAAAGGACAGTCTGGTCACCATGAAATATTTAGCCATCACTGCATCTCTTGTGAACATGCCTACTCGCCTCTTCCAGCAGCGCTGTGTTTGTCTGTACAGTGCTATTTTCCAGTTTAAGGCCTAAATCCACCTTCTGATGATGTATCTTGAAGGTGGGAGGAGCTTTTGAAAAACTGGCTAATGTGAAATGGCTAGTATGACTGCTAGAAAACTGAATGTCACGTTTGTATTTGTTAGCATAGCCGCAATTCCAATGGCAATGCTAGCAGCTAGGTTTCTTTTTTTGCTTTTGGGGGATTCTCTATGGTTGCATGCTGTATTTGTGTAGTGCATGCTGGGTATTGTAGTGAGAGGACACTGACTTCAGAATACTGCAGAATAACACTAATAATGAATATTAAATGCAAGTTTAAAGGGGAGCTCTGGCCTAAAACTAGCATTTTAGACAAGAGTTCCCCTTAAAGCTGCTATTTGGATTTGGTCTTTGAACAACAAACAACAAAATGCACAAAACAGAAACATCACCCAACATCAGAAACAGCATATCGCTGCTAAAGGAAACCTCGTATCTCCAAAATGGTAGCTTTACAGGAGAAGGAAAAAACCTACTCTCCTGTTAATGTAAGTCAATGGAACCAGACTTTTTTCCAAGTCATTTAACTAATTTCTTTTAGTCCATTCATCATGAAATTTACGTACAGTGTAAAGGGCAACAGGTATTTTCAAATTATGTGAAAAACTGAAAAACGTCAAAAATGGAGATAGAAGGTTTTCTCCTGACAACAGCGATATACAGTTTGTTATAAGCAATGACAACAGATATAGAAGTGTAACATAGTAGTGGTTGTAATAACATAGTAATGTCTACACTGAAATGATAGCAAGTGAAAACATCTTAAATGTAGCCAGTGTATCTAATATTTCTCATTTTGAGATTGTTGTAAGAATATTACAAGATTATTTCTTATTTCTGGGCACGTTTCCTAGCTTTAAGTAATGTCTTATTCCATTGGCAGATGGAATAAGACATTATTTAAAGCTAGGAAAACTTGTTTTTACTTGTTTTGTAAAAATAATGCAGAGAATTTTACTTCATTCAAAACATAATGCTTATCCGTCAATGGAATATGACTCTTTCATCAGATAATATGACCATAAATGTTTAGAAATAGCCTTAAAACATTCTTATTATTTAGAATATTAGATACATTGACAATATTTGAGATGTTTTTACTGGCTCAGACATCACTTTTTGCAGTGTGCTGCTGTCTGAGTGCGAGTACAGCGGAGTAATGCAGTATAGGACATGCAAACGTTACAATAGTGTGAAAAGAACCAGCAGTCAGAGAAGCGCACTGAAAAGCTCTGATCCATATCAGTTCAGTTTAGAACAGTTCTGTTCGATCTGTTTATCTACCAAAGCATATTAAAAAAAACAATCTGTTTTTAATATCATTTTTTCTCATGCAGAAGACCTGCAACCAGCTGCAAAGCTATAGATTAAAAATTATTTAAATTAAAATATTGGCCCAATAGAAATGGTTCAAAATACTGTTAGATTACACTCTTAAAAATATGCTTTTTCAAAGGTTCTTTAGTAAACACAGTGGTTCTATGTAGAAGCATGAAAGATCCTTATACATGCTTAAATGGTTCTTTGCATGGTGAAATTGTTCTTCAGATTGATGGAGAATGTGTTGTATATGGTTATATATATATATAGCACAATAAAGGGTTCTGCTGTTGTATAAGCTTGACACCGTAACAATAGAACCATATACAACACATTCTCCATGCAAAGAACCATTTAAGCATGCAAATGGATCTTTGAGTGTTCAGTGTTCTATTTGGAACCACTGTCTTTATTAAAGAACCCTTGAACAACCATCTTTTTTTAAAGAAGTGTATAATGTGTTCAGTTTTAAAACATTTCTGTTCACTTTTTCTCCCATAACAATTAGCATTTCATTGTTCAGCACAGCGATGATATAATCTGAAAATGTCTAATATGCATATATATTTGTATTATATAGCTTTTATGTTATCATGACTGAGAGACATAATGTAATATTTTTAATACACATGCAGAACTTGCATAAATAAAGGCATTAAAGTTGTGTTAAAACCTAAATCTTGCAAAATGATCAGCATTTGCAGTAAATGTCAGCCTGCTGAGCTAACAAAGGGTTAACACCACCACCACCCCCTCCTCCGCCCCCATCTGCACCCTGAAGGCCCCCCACCCATCAGCAGCCCCGCATCCCTCTCCACCAATCAGAGCGCAGGGAGGTGATGTCATGCAGTAGAGCTGTAAAGCTGGTGCTGAAGCTGCGCGGCACAAACGGCCAAACAGCAGCGCACAGCGAGGAGAGCGAACATCGGACAGCTCAGGTGAGGAATGACAACAGAGCACGCACACTTAATGTAAATATCACTGCATGCACATGCATTCACGTCTTGCATGTCTGTTTTATGATTTATCATTGTTATTATTCTCAGCATAAGCAATAAAACCTGCATGTACTTCTATTAAAATGTATTTTGTTGATTCTTTTCAGCTGTTTAATAAGCATGCAAAGCTGCAGGGCAGGTCATCTGAGCTCTTACAGTGGATAAAGAGAGAGAGAGACAGGGGCTCCAGCTTTAGTTCGAGTCTCTCTGTCAGTTTTCAGGTTGTGCTTTATGGAACTGAGGTGATTTGGCAGCTGGAGGTTTGTTTTGTGGTGCAGGAGCTGCTGAGTGAAGGCTGGACAGTTTCAGGAGAGAATTATTAGTGATGTTCAGATTCACTGTAATGTGTCATAGCAAAGCTGTAAGAATTGGTTTAGAGTGGAAAGAGTTTTGCAGAAAACAAAAAGTGCATTTTAGAGTTGAGCTGCAGGTCCAGTGGTGCAGAGAAGGGCAGGCTGGTCCGAGACAACTGACCCCAGAACAGCAGCACAGATGAAAGCGGCAAAGCGAGGAAGAGAAGTGCAGGAAAAGTAAAAGAAAACTAGGAGAAAACGTGGAGTTCTGCAGCAATTCAGCAGCTGTTTTATACTTATTTATTTATTTACATTTTCTGGTGAAAGCAGCCGACTTTTTCAGCTAATATGTGTTATTAATTAACATGCTGCACTAATAAAATAGACACAGTTAAGATGAATAACATCCTCCACCTCCTGCACAAACAGGCCTACGCTGATAAGGGCTGATCACGAATAAGAGTAACGAGGAGGCACAGAGAGAGAGAGAGAGAGAGAGAGAGAGAGAGAGAGAGAGAGAGAGAGAGAGAAGTAACAAGAAAATATAAAAGATAAAAAAAGAACACGAGAGAGAGGGAAGAGGAGGAAACAGAAGAAGAGAAAAAGAAAAAAGACCGGGAAGAGACAGGAGTAGATATAAGAGAAAGAAAGAGTGGGAGAAAGAGAGGGAGGGAGGGAGGGAGAAACAGAGAAAGAACAAGAAAGTGTAGGTAGGGGAGAGAGAGAGAAAGAGAGGGAGTGAAGGAGAAAGAGAGAAAGAAAGGAAAAAGAAAAGGGAGAGAGAGCAAGAGAGTGTAGGAAAGAGAAAGAGTGGGAGAGAAGAGAAAGAAGCGAGAGAGTGGGAGAGAAAAGAGAGGGAGAGAGTGGGAGAGAGAGATAGAGAACGAGTGACAGAGAGAGAGAGAGAGATAGAGAGAGAGAGAGAGAGAGAGAGAGAGAGAGAGAGAGAGAGTTTGGGTGAGTAATAAACGATTTATATTAAATGATCATATCAGACTGACTAATTAGCCACATTAACAGTGTGTGTGCAGGTGCTGCTGTATTATTACTTATTTCCTGATTAGAAATGACTGTGTTGAGGTTTTGGTGGTTAGTTGACTGTATTATTTGTATTTATTCTAATATTAGTGCTTTTCCAAGTAAATAAATGCTCACTGCTCAGATAAGCAGCTCTTTAGATCTCATTTTCCTCACGTTTGCACCGCACTGTCCTCAGTGGAACATGAAGAATTCAGCTATTCTCTGTATAACTATTATAGTTCTGTATCTTATTTGTGTTTCTGAGTTAAACTGCAGGTTCTGGATAAAGGAGCACTGTTTTGTTTTCTATCTGCATGTGAATGCTTTCAAACAGCAGCAGTTCTATAAAAAGAGGGCTCTTCAAGGGTGTTTAGTAAAGGGATTGGTTCTGTTTAGAACCATGAGCTCTATATAGAACCACTTGCAAGCATAAATGGTTCTTTGCTTGGTGTAATCAGCCTTCAGATTGATGGAGAATGTGTTGTATAAGGTCCTATATAGAACCTTTTTGACTAAAGGGTTTCTTCTATTGTTATGATGTCAAGCTTATAACAACAGTAGAACCCTTTCTGGTGCTATATAGAACCACATAGAGCACATCATGGTTCTTAACCAAACCATTGCCTTTGCTGAAGAACCCTTGAGGCACCATCCTTTTTAAGACCGTAGTTCACCGTTCAGATCCAGTGGGGAGTCGATGCACCATGGTTGGTTTCTGATGACATCATCTTTTCACTTCTCCCTCAGGATCAGTGAAGAGCTCGTCAAAGTCTGCAGTCGAGGCCAGAACACAAGCAGAAATGACTCTCGCAGGTACGTCAGTGAGTGAGTGACGTGAATCTGATTAAAACAGAGCTCACGGAATCAGTATATTCAGCTAAAACCTGCGGCCTACTTCTGCTCTCCTACAGCGTACAGAGAGAAGATGAGAGAGCTCCCCCTGGTGTCCCTCTTCTGCTCCTGCATCCTACCAGAGCCTAAAGAGAAACCCACCAAAAACACACCACAAGGTATGTTTACCCCCACCACCTTCATAGCCCTGCCATACTTAACTGAGTTAATATATAGCAGCACTTCTATAGTGATGTTATATATACATTAATAGGTCATATTGTACTGTACCATTTGTAGTATAGTCATTTTTACAGTGCTGTTGTATTTAAATTAATAGGTTATATTGTGCTGTATCATATGCAGTATAGTCACTTTAATAGTGCTGTTATATGTTGGTGCAGGATTGCACTAATTTGTAATCTGCGGACTACAATTTGTTCTTTTATTTTGATAATTATATTTAGTCATTAGTATGTTACTGTATGTAAATATTATTATATATTATATATTACTTATATGTATGTTAATATATGTTACTCACTACATGTATCATTTGGATTCATTTTTGTTTATTCTATTTATGTCATTTCTATCTCAGTTAAAGCCTTCACTTTCTTTTCCAAGCCCATGATTTGTACTTGATGATATGTCAGTTTATTAGAAACACCACGCTTGCATTTTTACTGACTGGCCACTTTACTGGAAACAGCAACCTTGCATTTTTACTGACTGGCCACTTTATTAGAAACACCACGCTTGCATTTTTACTGACTGGCCACTTTACTGGAAACAGCAACCTTGCATTTTTACTGACTGGCCACTTTATTAGAAACACATACATTGTACTTCCACTAACTGACCACTTTATTAGAAACACCAGCCTTGTACTTCCACTTACTGGCCACTTTATTAGAAACACCTACCTGGTGCTTCTACCCATGGTCTACTTTATGAGCTCCAACTACCTTGTAGGTGAACTTTCTCACATCTTCATTTTAACCCATTTATTTTTTCTGTGCTGGTCACCTGTGCAGGTGTGGTGGACCTGAACTTGTGCATCATTAAAGACATGGAGGTGATAGAGCTGAATAAGCGTGCATCCGGCCAGGCCTTCGAGGTCATCCTCAGACCTCCATCGTTCGACGGCCAGCGCGAGTTCCACCCCACCATTCCTCCTCGCCGGGACCCCTCACTGGAGGAGATCCAGAAGAAACTGGACGCGGCGGAAGAACGGAGAAAGGTGAGGCAGGAGCTAAAAGACTCCACCTGGAAAATCTCTCTTTTGCATATATATCATTCACTACCACTCTACTGTCCGGAGGATGGGTTCCCCTTCTCAGACTTGGTTCCTCTCAGTTGTTCTTAGGGGCTTGTATACTCTCGTCAGTGCTCATTGGGGGTCTACGCCTGCACTCCTGTGAAATAGTGATGTAGAAGCAGTAAATCCAACTGAACTGAACTGAATGACACTGAATAATTAAGAAAAACTGCACAAGTCAGCTACAACACTGTTTAAAAGTTTGGACTCACTTGTCATTATTATCTGCTGTTATTTTATTAAATAACAACTTACACAGTGTAGACTCACATATTAAAAGGTACGATTCATTTAATAATTTAAGCTTTTCAGGAAGACCAAGGACAAATTATATACAGTAATTGCCTCTTTATAGTAATTCCTTGGTAAGTTCTTAAACCTAGGCAATCAGGGTGTTTATTAGAAAATCATTGTTGTTGTTAAATTTATTAGAACGTCTTGCTTGATGGTCCAAAGCTAATAGAATAATAGAATGTCACAAAGCAACGACTGGATAGAATCACTTTATACACTATAAACATACATGCAAAAGTATCTGCCTGTAGAATTTGACATTTCCACCAGACAAAATGACCTGGAAATAGACAGAACAGTACTGTAATATTCTTACCACAATCAAAAAATGACAAATATTAGATATACTGACTGGATTTAAGATGTTTCACTTGCCGAAATATGCACTGCACATGAACCTGCAATTAAATTGGTTTAATATTATAAAAAACAGTGGCGCCAAACTTTTAACAGTAGTGTAATTATGATCCACAAAATCAGAAAGACAATTTTCTGACGGAGAAAGCCATTCAATAAAATTACGCTGCATGCTGCTACTGTTTTTAGGCATGCTAATGTACTTAAATCTATGTTTATAGATAGCAGGGCATCATACAGTGTCAGAAACCACATAATTGTTTAGATGTCAGATTAAACAGCAGGTCTTTTGGGGATTGGAAACCTCAGATTAGGTTAGGATGGAGGAGGTGGTTAGCTGTTAGCAATGCTGAGAGCCTTCTTATCTCAGAGATAAGATTTCTTATACACTCCTCTCTGTGCTCTGATAACAGTGCCAGGAAGCGGAGCTGCTGAAGCACCTGGCCGAGAAGAGGGAACACGAGCGTGAGGTCGCTCAGAAAGCCATAGACGAGCAAAACAACTTCATCAAGATGGCCAAAGAGAAGCTGGAGCAGAGGATGGAGATCAACAAGGAGAACAGGGAAGCTCACATCGCCGCCATGCTCGAGCGTCTTCAGGAGAAGGTGAGTTCTAGTCTTTCTGTTCTTCTAACATGATAAACAGACACCAACACACATCCATTCAAAAGAAATGCTGCACTATAACATGCTAGCATGGCTAACATTTAGCAAAGTCTAGCAGAAACTAGTTCGCTTGGACCACATCTGTATGCTAACAGGGTTTTCTTTCATTATTGAAGCAATACCCAGATACCAAGCATACATCGATCAGGCATAACATTATGACCACCTCCTTGTTTCTATGCTCATCGTCCATTTTATCAGCTCCACTTACTATATAGGTGCACTTTGTAGTTCTACAGTTACAGACTGTAGTCCATCTGTTTCTCTGATACTTTGTTAGCCCCCTTTTACCCTGTTCTTCAGTGGTCAGGACCCCCCCTGAGGTGTTTGAAAACTCCAGCAGCACTGCTGTGTCTGATCCACTCAGCGCCTCACACACCAACACACCACCACCACGCCAGTGTTACTGCAGTGCTGAGAATGATCCACTACCCAAATAGTACCTGCTCTGTGAGGGTCCATGGGGGTCCTGACCACTGAAGAACAGGGTAAAAGGGGGCTAAAAAGTATGCAGAGAAACAGATGGACTACAGTCTGTAACTGTAGAACTACAAAGTGCACCTATATAGTAAGTGGAGCTGATAAAATGGACAATGAGTGTAGAAACAAGGAGGTGGTCAGACTGTTACGCCTGATGTATATCTGCCCACTGCTGGCTTGATAAGGACGGCAACCCTGGTGACTATTTGCCACTGCTGGTCCACCCTGAGACCACCCAGATTACTGTCCTGCATACAAGATCTAACTAGTTTTTAATCTCCTCAAACAGATTTTAAATGCTCAGAGGCTTTTATTTTGGAAAATACTTTAAGACAAATATTACAGAGGAAAAAAAATGATTAGGCCCAATTTAAAATAGGTTTGCTGCAATTGTTGTGCTAAATTAAATATATTTACTAATTTACTAACTAATTTACAAAGAAAGAAATGAAAAAAGAAGTAAATTGGACTGTGAGTATAAAAAAGCGATAAAAAGTGGCGTTTTGTCTAATGACCACCAGCATGCCGCCTCAAAAAGCCAGTGGGCCGCCAGCTTTGCCATCAGAGGGTGGTCCGTGATCCTCTTGCTATCTGGGAAACAATTACAAACACACACTTTTCACAGTTTACACAATTTCACTCTTCCCCCAAATGTGTTCAGTCACTCCAGACATGTTTACTGCCAGACCTTTAAATGTTGCTTCTGTAGTTTTAGCTCTGCTACAAGGCTAATGTAGCTAACAAGCAATAGAAGACTGGACAAAATTCAGGCTGCTACTGTTTTTGGCTATGCTAATGTACTTTAGTCCATGTTTATAGATAACAGTGAGTCATACAGAGTCAGAAACCACACAATCAAGATTACTGAACAAGGTTTGATGATCTAGGAATGTAGTTAGCATCATGCTAATTGGTAAATTGGTATAATGTTGCATTTAACTTAGCCAGGAAGTGAAAAGTCGGAACCTGGAATTAAGTTACCCATACAAACTCTGTGCATCCGACAGCGATAAAAACATGAAAGCAAGTATCGTTAGCAACAAGCAGGCTAATGTTAGCGATATGAGTGATAGCGTTTAATGCTAACTCCATTATGAATGTTATAGTTTAACCAATACCGTGTCTGTAAGTTGGCAAATCTCATTTAAAAGTAATTTAAAACTCATTTAAACAATTTCTGCTCGACTTTCTGAGCAGAAATTCCCATTAGAGCGAAGTTTTCTTTGAGTTATTCCTAGTTGGAGTTGGGAAACAAGCTTCAGTCATATGCAGGCTTTATTAGCTACATTAGCCTCATAGCAAAGCTTAGGGAGGGTTTTGAACAGCCGACACTTCGGGAAAGGGGTAAATTGTGTAAATTGGATTTTTAGCCAAACTACAGAAGTGAAATTAGCTTACATGTTGTCTATATGTCTAATATTTCTCATTTTGAGATTGTTGTAACCCTGTTATAAGATTATTTCACTTATTTACAGATATTTCTTACTTGTTTTAGTGATTTTATTAAATGAAACTATCTCACTATATCAGCAGATAATCCTGCATATTGTTAGAAATATGCTTGCAGCCAGCCTATACATTATCCACCAATATCGTGAAATAATTCCACTTATATAAGTGGAAATAAGAAAGAAATAAGTGAAATAATCTTATAATACACTCTCAGAAATAAAGGTACTAAACTTCCCCTCTTGTCACTGGAGTGGAACCCTCAAGGCTCCATCTCAGTACCTTTAGTCAGGGAACATAACTGAACCATAACCCACTGAAATGATATGTTCTAAGCTGTACTGACTCCACACACCCCGTCTCGTCTCCAGGCTTTTATTTTACTGTTCTGTTTAAAACATTCGGTTATGAAAAGGTACAAATACAAACTTTTCACCTGGAGAAACTTATTTAAGGTTCACAATCAGACCTTAAAACCACTGTTGGAGCTTTGAGGGAACATTTACACTGTTTGTACTGTGATGAATGAAAAACGTACCTTTCTTTCTAACAGTGAAGGATTACAACCATCTCAAAATGAGAAATATTAGACAAATAGACAAGATTTAAGCTAATCTCACCATTTTTCGCAGTGTACTCATTTTGGTCTGAGATATTTGTTTAATGCAGCCTATTTAACCTGGTCTTTGTTGTATTTTCTCTCTCTGTCTTGCAGGACAAGCACGCTGAGGAGGTGAGGAAAAATAAGGAGCAGATGGAGCTGGACTGGCAGTAGAGTGGCGCAGGACAGAGCTTGTGTTGTCATTTTATTACATGGAGAACATGCCACAAATTCAGGCCCACCGGGTCTCTGTTCCAATGTAAAAATGGCAAACGGTGTCTGTGGAAGAGGAAGTGCGGTTCTGCAGCGTTGGCTTCACCGCCCTCCATAGTGAACTACACTTGTGATTCGGACGTAAAAAACTGCTGGGGCTTCACTTTGACATTTTCAGGCACCAGAAAGACCCCAGAAATAATGGATTATCATGATAGCAGGCGAAAGAGCCCCGTTTTTATTTGAGGTTCAGTGAAAAAAGCACATTTATTAACCAGAATAGTTTAGACGCCCATTAAACTCCACTCGTAGCTTGTAGTCGTGAGCAGCTTTGCATGTTTTGACGGAGAGGCAAACGAAGCTGGACTGGACTTGATGTGACGTGTATTTGTGATTTGTGAAGACTGTGGCCTTAGATGTTTGTGTACCCCTGTTCTGTGTATTGATCTGATGGGTGCTGTGAGCTTTTGTGTATCTGTGTTTTTGTTTTCGCCACTCTGCTGCTTTAGAGGATGTACAATGTATGCTGTGTATAACTTTAAAGGAATTCTTCAGCCTTTTTCAACCTAATCCCTGCCCTTATTACCTGTAGTGTACATTTGATTTTAACACATGTCTCTGTGCTTAGAAAAGAGAAGAAAACCTGTCGGATTAATATAAACCTATGATAGAAAAGCCAATGGGCAGTAAATTTGTGAATTAACATTTGAAATATGTGAATATTTAGCATCTATTTAAAACTCCAGCTGTCCTGCTTTAGCCGTACAGATGTGATGCGACAGAGTTAATTTCTTATCAAAGTGGTTCTGTGCAATTTCCCAACAGTGGGGCAGCACTGTAAAAAAGTAGTTCCACTTATTTTCCCTTTGGACTATGCTCTTAAAATAGACTACAAATTCCTCCCTCTGGGAAACTAATCCCACCTCTAAAAGGACCATTTACTGATTTACAGCTTGATTTACAAACAGCTTTGGCTAAAGAATTAATTAAATGTTTATAGACTCAATTCAACAACTGCCCATTGACTTCCATTCCAAAGCAAATTCTGAGTCAGCACATTTCAAAATTATGGTTTGTGGGAATCGACTATATGCTACACTATTAAAAAAGATGGTCCTTGAAGGGCTCTTTAGTGAGCGTTCTTTACATGGTCAAATGGTTCTTCAGACGGTTCTTCAGATGAAGAACATGTTGTATATGATTCTACATAACACCAAAAAAGGGATGTCAAGCTTGTAACAATACAATATTCTATATAGAACCAAATACAATACGTTCCTCCTCAATCTGAAGAAACATTTCACCATGCAAAGAAACTTTCAAGAATGCAGATGGTTTTTTGAGTGTTCATGGTTCTATATAAGACCATTATCTTTACTAAAGAACCCTTGAAGAACCATCTTCTTCATTTTAAGAGTGTACAGGAGCAGCTGATAGAGATTATGTTGAAAAAAAATGCTAAAGTTTTCCTTTAAATTGACATATTCCCAACATGTGATGGTCATTTTAATGCTTGCATGCTACGACTATAACCGATAAAGTGTATGAAAATCAGTTCAGCTGTGTGGACGTGTGCTTTCTGTTCCTGCCAATAATCTCAGTGTAATCTCTGACCTCTCTTATGTTCCAGGTGCCATGAGGTGCTCTCCACAAACATGCTGAAAATTTGGGAGACCATTCATCCAAAGGGACTGACTGTAGAGCTGAGAGCTTATTAGCTTCGAACACATGAGATTACGATACAGAAACGACACCGTGACGTTGTGCTATCATTGTGAATGGCTGTCGTCCAGCCAGACGGAAAGGGAGACTGACTGGTCAGTCTGTTGCAGAAACATCATTGACTTTTAATCAGAGGAGCCAACAGTGCCAAATCTGAGCGTGTTTGGGCCTGTATGAGTGCGTACGAGTGTCTTTTGGACTTTTCCATGTGATGTGCGTATCACCCATAAGCGCAGCCGACGTGTTCTCACTGCTGTCGAGGATTTATTTTGTTAAAAAAGCGGAACCTCGAAAAAGAAAAGAAAAAAAAAAGCCTTCTTGTTGCTGTAAATACAGTCAATCGCCTTCATGATCAGCTGGTATCTGATTTCACTGCTGTACAGAAATTGTAATATATTTTAGATGCAATGGGCATTAAAGGACTGCTGTGTGGGACGGCCTTTCTCTCTGTGATTCAACCCAAATAAGCCAGAAAGTACAAAAGATTCACTTCCTTTTGTTCACCCAGCGTCGGGTAGCCTTTTACAGCTTCCTGCGAGTTCAAGACACTTAAAGCTTAAACTATAAAAAGGCCTAAAATAGGTCTTGGCCTGTTTCCATTTTAAAGTGTACCACAATCTCAGTTCACTCAACAGTTTTTAAGGGGGCAATTCCATTGAATTTTTAAAAATTTCTACATGATTCTGTAGTTCTGATGCAAGCAAAGTCATTCTGAGTGGTTTTGCTGTAGAGAAACTTATTCAAAAAACACAATATTTTATGTTTGTCCTCATGAACCTGATGCCTGCAACATGTTCCAAAGAAGCTGTGACAGGAGCATGTTTGTACTTAATAATTGTTTGGTAATTGAAGATACTAACCGATTCAGTGTGTTCAGTGTCATTGGAGCTTTCACAGATGTGCAGGTTACCCACAAATACCCCCACACACACCATGACAGACGCTGGATTTTGAACTTTACACTGGTAACAGTCAGGATGAATCATTATTTCCATAAACAATCTGAAAGGTTGACTCTTTAGACCACAATGCAGGTTTCCACTGAGCATCAGTCCATTTCCGATGAGCTCGAGCTCAAAGAAGTCGGCGGCGTTTCTCAATGTTGTTGATATTTGATTCCGCTGTGCATAGCGTAGTCTTAACCTGCGTTTGTGAGTGCAGAAATGTGTCAAAGTATTCTCAAGCCCATGTGGTGATATAATCACAGAAAATTGTTGGTTTTTAATGCACTGCTGTCTGAGGTGTCAAAGGTCACGGGTGTTCATTTGTGGTTTACAGCCTTTTTACTTTTATGCACAGAGATTTCCTCAGATTCCCTCAATCTTATGATGATATTAAGCACTGCAGAGGGTGAAATCCTAAAAATCCTAAAAAGGAGTGATATTTTTAAACTGCTTATGCATCTCTGGTAAAGTGGTCCTGACCTGTCCTCACTCGTGAAGGACTCAACCTTTCCTGGGTGCTCCTTTTATACCCAAGTGTGAGTGCATCACCTGTTTAAGATGTTTTTGAACATTTCACTAGTCTTAAACGGCCCCTTGTGAACTATTTTGTAACGTGCTGCAGGCATCAGTTTCAGAAAGAGCATATTTTTACAAAAAAACAATGAACTTAATAAGATAAACATTATAGAGCTTGTCTTTGTGCTGCTTTTGTTCAAATGCAGGTTAACGTTGATGTGTAAAATCACTGCTTTCTGTTTCTAGCGCATTTTACCTTCTGTCCCAATATTTTGGAACTGGGTTCGTATATCATGTGGAGGTTCTTTAAAAAGGTTCTCACACATCTCATTTGTGACAATGTTTCTTTAACCCCTTAAAATCTCAGGCTTTTTACATACTAAGGCTTATTATTCAGTAACTACAGGGTCTTCAGTACAAACTGGCTGAGCTGTTCTCAGGTTATAGAGGTGTGTAATAAAACTTTGGCCATTTAAGAGCTAAAGAACTGTCTTTTGACAGGTTCTTTGGGGAACCGCACCAGAGAACCCTTTTTAGCCACCTTTCTTTTTAAGAGTGGAGCTGTTTTCTTTTTAGCCATTCCGAAACAAACTCAAAGAAATATTTCCACAGTTAAAATGCCTCCAGTTCTTTAATTTATTAGATTAAATTAGTTAATTTAACAGATTATTTACAAATAATCAGTACCAGCTTGCTCAATAAATAACATCTTAACAAATATAGAAAACCCCCTTAGACTGCACAGGCAGACCATACAACAAAAAATATACCGAAAATATACAATATATTACACTCTATTTTGCAATATACTGGCAGTTGATATGTGTTACTAAACAATAAGTCTTTACAGGCTGCAGTTCAAAGGGTTAATCTTTGAATCTATTAATAAATAACACTCTCATAAACAAGGCACTTATGATTAGAGGAATAAATAACAGTCAATAGTAAAAATCCACAGATGGAGAAGCAGCTGGATTTTGAGCAGAAGTTCAGCCCACGCTTCTCAGACCTGCTGGACGTACGGCCGGACGCAAGTGCAGCCCACCGAGATGGTCTTATACGCCAGTTTTAACTGGTAGCTTTTCTCGTCGGCTTTGACCTTCTTGAGCACCAGGATTTGCCTCATTATGGGTTTGGATTCCACATCCAGGATCTCCTCTCCCTTCGCGTTCAGACATCCGGTCAGCAGACACTTGGCGGTCGAGATGGTGTCTGGGATGTAGTCGCTATCTGTGACAAGTCTGTTGAGAGAGGAGGAGGCATATTATAGAAACAGTGAGGTCATTGAGGTCAGATATGATCCAAAAATGATCACGGCTTCATGATCATTCTGTGATTAAAAGGTGGAATAACTATCTGGAGGAGCTTTAATTGAGATTTGTTACAATCAATTATAATCAATTAGATTCATATTCAATAAAGTCTTTATTTTGGAAAAAGAAAGTGTTAAAATCATTTTCACACATAAAAACCAAGATGGAGGAAGTGCAGTACTTATGTACGGTCTTAAAGATGGTTCTTCAAAGGTTCTTTAGTAAAGACATCTATATAGAACCATGAACACTTGCATACTTAAATGGTTCTCTGCATGGTGAAACTGTTCCTCGGATTTATTGAAAATGTGTTATATATGGTTCTATATAGCATCAAAAAGGGTTATAAATTGTCACTACACACAATGGTTCTTCATGGGTTAAAGAAAATGGTTCTATATAGAACCATGAGCACTCAAAGAACAGTTTGCATGAATAAAGGGTTTCTTGCATTGTAAAAGAGTTCTTCAAATTGATTTGATGGAGAATGTGCCATGCATGTTTCTATATAGAACCTTTTTGAAAAGGGTTCCGTATAGCACTAAAAATGTTCTGCTATTGTTACGATGTCAAGCTTGTCACAGTATTTTGGTGCTATACAGAACCCTTTTCAAAAAGGTTCTAAACAGAACCATATAGAACACATTCTCCATCGATCTGAGGAACGATTTCACCAGGCAGAGAACCATTTCAGCATGCAGATGGTTCTTTGAGTGCTCATGGGTCTATGCAGAACCAATGTCTTGACTAAAGAAGGCTTGAAGAACCATCTTTTTAAGAGTGTAAAGTAATAAAATTGAAATACTCTAAAATACTACTTGAGTAAAAGTAAATACAAGTAAAGTAAATTAGACTTAAATAACGGATGTAGAAAGTGCTTTGAGTTATTATAGATCTTGTCTAATATGATTCTGATGGCTCATGATACTTAAGTACATTCACAAGCCAGTGCTTCTGTATTTTGCTTAAGTGTTTTTTTAACTTGTTTAGCTTGTTGTCTATACTCCACAGGAGCTTCTCTTTTTTATAGCTTTGTTGATGTGCTGAATCATTTCCTAAAGAAGCGAAATCAGCTCTTTGTGATGTCACAGATATGAGCCGCTGCGCTTTATGGGTCAGAGACAGTGAACAAGAGTCACAGTTTCAGTTGCTGGTTGTGACATCCGGTGAAAATGGTACGAAATCTACACACATCTACACACAACTACACGCCAGAGTGCACCGACCTAAAAACAACAGCATCCTAACGTTAGCAGTTCTCTTTAGAACGTACACAAAAAATTGAAGAACCAAATGCAGCAGAGAGAACGGACAGAAAACGTCCCGGATCAAAAACACCACACCAATTAAACGCTTGCACTCATTTGTGTTTCCTGGTGTTGGTTAGTTAAAGAATAATCCATAGGAGATATAATTCATAGTGTTTACTGAAAACATCATAGTAAATAGTGAATAATTCACAGTTGGTAATGAATACTTAATAGTAGTTAATGAATACTTAATAGTATTTAGTGAATAATGCATAGCAGCTAATGAATACATAAAAGTGGCTAATGAATACTTAATAGTAGCTAGTGTGAGTTCATAATAGTGACTCAATAATATGTAGAAGACTGAATAAATTCTTAGAATATACTAAATAATTTCATAGTAGTTAGCAAATAATTTATAGTAGATAAATAATAGTTGAGACAGATCATTCATAGTGGCTAAGAAATACTTAATAGTAGTTAGTGGAAAATTCATAGTAGATACTGAATAATCTGTTGTATTTTCTGAATATTTTTCATAGCAGTTACCGAATAATTCACAGGGGTAACTCAATAATATAAAAAAGATAGTAAATCATTTTAGTAGATGCTGAATAATTCATAACGATTACTGGATAATAAGCCTGCATTTTTAATGTATTTTAATATATGAAATGTGCTTCATGAATGAAGTTTATTTTTATTTTATGAATGCTATGACTCCGATGTGAGAGAAGAGGAGATGAGCCTGGTGAGGACGCTGAGTGATGCTGATGCTGCTTACGTGTATTCCCATGGAGAGATGGAGTCGTTGTTGATTGGCCGGATAGAGCTGGCTGAGCCCTTGTCCAGATGATCCAGAGTCAGGAGGTATGAGCGTGACTTGTGGTGGTCACTCTGTTTGGGATGGCTCTGCAGTATGGAAGCTCCCCGGACCCCCAGTGCAGCCATACTGATCACGCAGACCACCTGCACAAAGATAGACGCATAGTTAGACAGACCGACAGGCAGACAGACAGACAGACAGACAGACAGATAGACAGATATGATAATACCAGAGACTGAAGCATATTTATTCCCCATTAGAACTGTTCTTTAAAGAACCATTATTTGAAATGTTTAAAGAAACATTTTTATTTCCTGAAATATTCCTAAAACAATTTAAGCCATGTAAAGGTTTTACCTGGAACATTTCTAGAACAATATAACTGTTCTATGTCATATGAAGGTTTTTCCTAGAACATTCGTAGAACACCGTGCCATATAAAGGTTCTACCTAGGAAATTCTTAGAATGATGTAACTTTTGTATCCCACTACAGGGTTTTACCTAGAACATTCCTAGAATGATATAATGATCGATATCATGTAAAGCTGTAACCTAGAACTTTTATGAAACAATGTAAAGGTTCTATACCTACTACAGATTTTTTTATAGCATATCTAGAACATTGTAATTTTTTATATACCAAAGAATCTTTTTCTGGAACATTTCTAGTAGTGTGCAGAGGTTCTCTACACATTAATGTTTTGTTCCTAGAACATTCCTAGTGCAAAGTTCTCCACTGATGAGGGTTTTTTCTTAGAACCTGCTGCATTATACAATAAAAGTATAAAAAGCTCTGTTTGCGGTTCTCCTGCAGTGTTATCATGGTCAGATGTTCTCACCGTGAGAAGTGTGATGTTCAGAACAGACTTCATGGTTTCACAGCTGTGCTCGTCCGTCTCTCACTGCTTTTCTGTCGTCACCTTGCGCTCTCTCTCTCTGCTGTACCTGCAATGTTTTTATACGGGCCTGACAAGCGGCCGCGGCGGGGGTGCACTTCCTCTGAAGACATAACTCAGCCTTTGATGTATCGATCAAAAAACCACACTCATATCGATGAAAGTGCAGATGCAGCTAATTAACCTTCTACAGTTACACTCTGGTTTCACTCTGATACTATAACTGCATTCGCTCTGCATTACAGCAAAATACTTTCAAAAGTACTGATGGCTGAATACTGAGTACGCTGTCCTGAATGTATTCAGTAACGTATTCCATTACATATATCACACTGATTTATCAGTCTACTCAGGCTTTAGCAGAGCTCAGTAACCCTGAGATTAATAACTAATAATCACACTGATTTATCAGTCTACTCAGGCTTTAGCAGAGCTCAGTAACCCTAAGATTAATAACTAATAATCACATTGATTTATCAGTCTACTCAGGCTTTAGCAGAGCTCAGTAACCCTGAGATTAATAACTAATAATCACACTGATTTATCAGTCTACTCAGGCTTTAGCAGAGCTCAGTAACGCTGAGATTAATAACTAATCACATTCATTTATCATTAATCACATTGATACTTATTTTTTGTATTCTGAATACACATTCCTAATACTTGTATTCCATTACATCCCAACCTTGTGAATGTACACAGATTTAAGCTAAAATAAAATAATAGATTAATGGATTAATAAAATAACAGTATTAATTTGCATAGTTACAGTACAGCACAGTATATCTGCAATATAACTTTATATTCTTTAAGGAATTTTAGCATGAATGACAAATCTAAATGTATTAAATCTCATTCAGTAGACATTTAATGAATCAAGTGTTTTAAAGCAAAAGCTTCTCAAAGCCTCACTGAATTCTGAATGATATACAGGTCATTCTACTGAATTCAAGGTGAAAAAGTCAGAGCTGAAACACATTTGGGACTTTTAACTGATCTTTAGACTAAAACCTTTTTGCTCTGAGTGACTCTAAACCTTAGTTATGTTTATTTTATTAAAACAAATGATAGAATATTCCATTTTCTCACTACCAAAACAATCATAACTCTACCGAACTGTACCAAATGTTTCAGTAGTGACTGTCTCAGTAGTGACTGTTTCAGTAGTGTCTGTTTCAGTGACAGTTTTAGCTCATTCTGAGCTCAGAAACTCAGCAGGTCATGACCAGCAAACACAGCTCTGAACAGCTGTTCACACAGAAAATCATCATATTTTACATTAAAACACTAAAAAGTGCTGAACTGCAGAAAATATGATGATTCTTAATGTTCCACACTGATTTTCAGACTTTGGGGCTCATTTACTTCAAAACAATGGGATCTAACTGCTCACCATGTGGCCATGAGGGACAGGGATGCAGTCTTACTTCCTGCTCTGAAATTCAGAGGCGTGGCTAAAATAAGACTCCGCCCACATACTAAAACTCTGTTTCGGTACTGACATAAAAACATGGGCCTTTTTTTTATTTAAAAATGAAACTTGTGATAAATCTTTCAACTTCACTTTAAAAGAAATAATTTTTACTTAATAATTTTTTAATTATTTTTATTAATGATGGTTTTATTTATATTTAGCTTATTAGTATCTATTAATGCCTTGGGTTTAAATAGATCAGAACATCATGCTTGCAAATATCTAAGCTCTGAATATTTCATTTTTTAACAGTTTTTACTCTTGGGGTGCAGTTTGAACTATTTCAGTCGGATGGTTTGTTTACTTTATTATGGAGAATATACTGATAATTATATGTATGACTGACTACCATGGAGAAATATGCCCTCCTCTACTTTGCCTGTTGAAAAGCTCTCTTTGTTTCTATTTGTATGTAGCTGTAATGCGTAAAGTCTGTTCTTCCATCAGTAAACCTAAATGAGAATTACGTTCCAAAAATCACAGCTGAAATATAGTTTATTAAATCTGAATAAATTAAATAAAGCAAAAATGAATAAATAAGTAAAAACAGCGACGGTTTCATAAACCCGTATGTCTGAATGCAGCATCAGCATAATAATTGTGGTGAACAGTACCAAGGTGCCATACAAGAACCACTTTTGGTTCTTGAAAGATCCTTTTAATGGATTTTTTTTGGAAAACCACTTTTGTAAATGACACGGAAATGTAAATGCGGATGTGAAAAACCTTTTAAACATTTATATAAGGTTCTAGGACTCGACACAGAACCTTTATACTACGTTCTTTAAAAACATAACATTCCACTATTGTTACAAGCCAAAGAGCCCTTTTTGGGTACTACGTAGAACCCTTTTTGCTAAGAGTGTTGGTTCTTTAAACCTTTAAAAGGTTCTTTGCACTGACACATCTCTTTTGGTTCTTTAGGCAAACAAATGTGGTTCTATAACATTGTACATGAGTGTACCTCTGAGTTTTAGCCAAACATAGTTGTTTTTAAGAATTTAAAATGCCAATATTTTGCCTAGAATTGTACACTGTTAAAAAGATGATTCATCAAGCGTTCTTTAGCGAATGGTTCTGTTCAGAACTACAAGTTCTTTATAGAACCATTTCACCATTTCTCTTTGCATGGTGAAATGGCTCTTCAGATTGTTGAATGTGAAGAACTGTTTCACCATACAAAGAACCCTTTAAGCATGAAATTGTTCTATGTAGAACTTGTGGTTTACTAAGGAACCCTTGAAGAGCCATCTTTTGGTAACTGTTTCAGTAACTGTTTTACTACCTCAGTAACTGTTTTACTACCTCAGTAACTGTTTTACTACCTCAGTAACTGTTTTACTACCTCAGTAACTGTTTTTGCTACCTCAGTAATTGTTTTTGCTACCTCAGTAATTGTTTTACTACCTCAGTAACTGTTTTATTACCTCAGTAACTGTTTTATTACCTCAGTAATTATAACTGTTTTACTACCTCAGTAACTGTTTTACTACCTCAGTAACTGTAATTGTTTAACTACCTCAGTAACTGTTTTTACTACCTCAGTAACTGTTTTACTACCTCAGTAACTGTAATTGTTTAACTACCTCAATAACTGTTTTACTACCTCAGTAATTATAACTGTTTTACTACCTCAGTAACTGTTTTACTACCTCAGTAACTGTTTTAGTACCTCAGTAACTGTTTTACTACCTCAGTAACTGTTTTACTACCTCAGTAATTGTAACTGTTTTACTACCTCAGTAACTGTTTTAACTACCTCAGTAACTGTTTTACTACCTCAGTAACTGTTTTACTACCTCAGTAATTGTAACTGTTTTACTACCTCAGTAACTGTTTTAACTACCTCAGTAACTGTTTAACTACCTCAGTAACTGTTTTACTACCTCAGTAACTGTTTTAACTACCTCAGTAACTGTTTTTACTACCTCAGTAACTGTTTTACTACCTCAGTAATTATAACTGTTTTACTACCTCAGTAACTGTTTTACTACCTCAGTAAACTGTTTTACTACCTCAGTAACTGTTTTACTACCTCAGTAATTGTAACTGTTTTACTACCTCAGTAACTGTTTTACTACCTCAGTAACTGTTTTACTACCTCAGTAATTGTAACTGTTTTAACTACCTCAGTAACTGTTTTACTACCTCAATAACTGTTTTACTACCTCAGTAATTGTAACTGTTTTACTACCTCAGTAACTGTTTTACTACCTCAATAACTGTTTTACTACCTCAGTAATTGTAACTGTTTTACTACCTCAGTAACTGTTTTACTACCTCAGTAATTATAACTGTTTTACTACCTCAGTAACTGTTTTACTACCTCAGTAACTGTTTTACTACCTCAGTAACTGTTTTACTACCTCAGTAATTGTAACTGTTTTACTACCTCAGTAACTGTTTTACTACCTCAGTAACTGTTTTACTACCTCAGTAACTGTTTTAACTACCTCAGTAACTGTTTTACTACCTCAGTAACTGTTTTAACTACCTCAGTAACTGTTTTACTACCTCAGTAACTGTTTTAACTACCTCAGTAACTGTTTTACTACTCTCAGTAATCTGCTGTGTTTATGTATGTTATCTGACGTAACTCACAGATCACAGCATGTTAAATATGTCTGCACCTTATTCCACTACCTCATGTCCAGAGGTCTGTGCTGTGTTGGTGCCACACTGTCCGGTCTGTTTACTGTGTCTAATGTCTGTTTAATTTATCATATTTATTGTATTGTTTCTAGCTTAATTTTTGTTTGCACTGTCTGCACTTTCACACTTTGTAATTTTGTACTTTTGTACTTTTGTACTTTTTGGAGGAATGTAATTTCGCTCCACTGTGTTCTGTACATAGACTGAATGACAGTAAAAGCCTCTTGACTTGACTTGACTTGTTAGCAATATTAGCATTGCTGTCTGAACCATTCCTTTAAGGCTATTATAGCTAGGCTAACTTAGTGACCAATGCTAAAACTTTAGCCTCAATGCTCTGAAGGACACGACACAAAGGGACGTGTTAGTTTGAATGTTTGTTGTGGTCCTGTACGAATCTGGCCAGGCATTTTATGATTATTGTTTGCAAATGATGCAAAATCAAAACCTCTCAGTGGCATATTGATTTATTAGCACTATCACCTATCAGTTAAGGCTAGCTAGGCTAAATTTGATAATGTTTTCTTCACACCCATGTGCTGGTTTAAACTGGTCTAAGCTGGTTTATGCTGGTCTAGTGCTGCTTTTGCTGGTGACCAGGCATGCTGGTCTGTGCACACCTTATGGAGGGTGTATATTTAGAATGTTAACAGAATATTTGTTTATTTTTTAATTTAAACTGTACTTAAAAATCAGTTCAAGCAGGTTTGGTCCAGAATCATGTGGCAAAAAATGACTCACGTGCTCATACTCACAGAACATAACAATAGAGTAATCCTAAAAGAGATCTGTAGAGAGATATGCATCTGGAAATGACTTATCATGAGACATCATCATCATCCCACACTCGTCATTATGATGCTTTGCACCAGCTTTTTTCTGTTCAGGGAAGTTTCT